GGCAATGCTTTACCCCAACTGATACAAAGAGCAACACATTAACATCAAGCACAACTTGGACACTGACCCCCTGTGGTAGTCACTATTCTATCACCCTTAAATCATTTGAATTAAATTGAAATCAAGAAGCAGTCCAGAACATGTCTGCAGTGAACAAACACATTTAATGGCTCAGACAGAGCGAGGATGCAAGACCCCTGATCTCAGTTAGCTAATGGCTAAACCCCCTGATGCTGACTGACCTCGGGCTGCAAGTCCCAGATTGAGTTCCCCATCCTTCTGAATGGTTGAACTCCACAACGTTCTATTACAGGTTTCCCACTCCCTTTCTTTAAAGATGTTCAAAGTTGGGAACTCAGAAAAATACCCTTGATGACCACCTCTGTCTTTGCAGAGTGGGTCCAAAGACTGGCACAGTCAGGAGGTCTGAGAGTGCGGGGGGGGGCTTATGGGGTTCAGGGGCGCCCGCACGGCTACCTTCCCGGTGCTTGAGCGATGGCGGCTGGGTCAGGAGCTGTTGTGGTTCTTCCTGCGGTGGATCGGGGCCCAGGCTTCCTCCTGGCGCTTGAGGGATGGCGGCTGGGTCGGGAGCAGGCGTGGCTCTCCTTCCCGCGGTGGATCTGGGCCCAGCCTACCTCCCAGAGCTTGAGCAATGGCGGCTGGGTTGGGAGCAGGTGTGGTTCTCCTTCCCGTGGTAGATCGAGGCCCAGGCTTCCTCCCGGCGCTAGAGCAATGGCGCCACCCTTTGTGATTTTAATAACCATGAATGTAGGCAGGCTCAAAAGTTGTTTGACTCAGTCATGAGTTTTTTTAAACTCTAAAATCAAAATTTAGCTGAGCATCGTGGTACATGACTATAATCCCAGCACTCAGGAGGCTGAAGCAGGAACACTGCGGCAGGTTTGAGGCCAGCCTGAACTTCATAGTGAGACCTTGCTTAAAAAAGAAAAAAAAAAAGAAAAAGAAAAGAAAAAGCGGGGCACTGGGATATAGCTCAGTGTGAAAGCCCTGGATTCAATCACAAGTACCAAAAAAAAAAAAAAGAAAAAAAAGAAAGAAACACATCCTTGGTATAGCATTTTTTAGGTAAAGCCACAGTTGTATGTTCTTCTGTATGGTTCTATTTCTTACAGTATAGGGGTTTTTGGTTGATTCATTGGCTGGTTGGTTGGTTGGTTTTTTCTTTTTGTTTTTGTTTTGTTTTGTTGTGTTTTTGAGACAAGATCTCACTATGTAGCCCAGGCTGGCCTCAAATTTAACGCAATCCTCCTACATCAGCCTCCCAATTGCTGGGATTACAAGATTGTACCACCATACCAGGCATGTATCAGATTATTTCTCTTAAACTATATAATACTCTGAAGTTCTGTGTTGTTAGTGGTGAACCTATGGCATGCATGCCACAGCCATCTGATTGTTATCGTTGAAAGCTCTAAAAGATTCACCATCACTGTTCTATGTCCTATAGTATCATTTTGTTTTACATTGTTTAAAACATCTAGGCAGTAAGTACTAAGTTTACTGAGGATTAGGCAAGTTAGTTGAGTAGTTTTAGCTTGTCACACTGATCCCACTTTACCTTCAGGCTATTGTGATGAGTTCTTTCCTCTGATTCATAAATAGCTATCTCCTCAGTATATGTTGCTTTTTGCTTCAGCTAAAGGTATGATTGCCTCGGCTGTAGTCCATCACCATTATTAGAAGAATAACCACTAAACTACAGAGACTTAGATTCTTGCCCTTCATACTTTGACAGAACACACCTTTGACCTCACTTATTTGTTCACTACATACTTGATGAACACCTACTATGTACTTGCTGCCCCATTCTCGATGTTAAAATACATATTAAAATCTCTGGCTCGTGGAGCTTGTATTTCAGTGGTGGGAGACAGTAGAAAATCAGAAAATTATATAGTGTGTTAGTGACCTACAGAAAAAAGTAGAGAATAGCAAGTACAGATGGGAGATTGCAGTATTAAATTTGTTAGTCAAGGTAGGCCTTGAGACAGTGGCACTTGAATAAAGACCTGAGGAAGATGAGGAAGTGAGTCATTTGGGTATCTACCACTGGTGCATTCTAGGTAAAGGCAAATGCAGAAGCCCTCACAGTGGAAATTTGAACCTCACATGCTGCTGGTGCAAATGGAAACTGGTTCAACCATTATAGAAAAATAGTTTGGCAGGTACTCAAAGTTACAT